CAGAGTAAATGTATATTTTTTTTCTTTCTTTTATCTTATTTGTTTATTTGTTTTTCAAGACAGGGTTTCTTTGGCAAACCCTGGTAGTCTTGGAACTCATGTTGTAGACTAGGCTAGCCTCAAACTCACAGAGCTCCACCTGACTCTGCCTCCTGAGTGCTGGGGTTAAAGGTATGCACCACCCCCTGGCTAGGTTTCTTACTGAAAATAGAAAATACTTGATGTGGTTTGAATGAATATGTCCCCCACAGGCATATTGTATTGGAGCACAGGGTGATTCTAGAACCTGTCAAGTTGATAATCACTCTCAATTGTCACAGTAATAATAAGCCTTGATTGACAATTGGTCCCCAGTTTGTGGCTGTGGGGGGTGGGATTTAGAAGGGGTGGCCTTGCTGAAGAAAGTAGATCACTGGTGCAGGCTTTGAGAGTTTAAAGCACTGTTAAATAAACAAAAACAAAATCCAAGTCTTATCTACCTAACTTCAGTTTTGGGTGATGGAGAAGTGCACAGTAAGAATGCATGTTTAAAGCTGGGTGGTGTGGCACACACCTTTAATCCCAGCACTCAGGAGGCAGAGGCAGGCAGATCACTGTGAGTTCAAGGCCAGCCTGGTATACAGAGTGAGTTCCAGGGCAGGCTCCAAAGCTATACAGAGAAACCCTGTCTGGGGGCGAGGGGGAGGGGGTGAGAATGCATGTTTAGCTGGGTCTATCAGGAATTCTGATAAGGGATTTGACTAAAAACTAAGAGCTTCATGAAGAGACTGGACTTTTGAATTCAGAGGACTATATCACCGTATCCCCAGGATAAATCATGAGCATGACCCCCAGGATGCCTCAGTTTCCCTGTTTGCAAAAGGAATATAACTGTAGTGCCTTTTTAAGCTGTCATGCAGTTGACAGTGTCTGGTATTTAAATATTGGTTAAATAAACTCAGAATTCTCAGGGATGGCGTGTGCAGCACTTGGCTATAACCTCTTTAACAGATACATAGCAAACTTGTTAGATCTTCATATGGCATGCTTGTCAAATGCTTAGATGATCTGAGTGTCAGATGAGGAGACCAAAATCCAAAGGAGGCTTGAGACGCTAACAGTGAGAAGCACAGTGCATGAGATGGAACTAAATCCTCTTTTGTGTTTTCACTGTGTCTGTGATAAAATAGGACAACAAGCAATTACAGAAGGAAGTACGAGGTACACTCCATCAGTGCGAAAGTCAAGGTAGGGGGACCCTAAAATGCGTGGTCACAGCAGCCACAAGGGGCAATGGACGCTATAGAAGAGCTCAACTCAATTTCTCCTTCTTATAAGGTCCAGGATCCCAGTCAGTTACACCCACAGTGGATGAGTCTTCTACACTCAATCATGACAACCCTCTACAGTCATGCTCACTCAGAGGCTTGTTTCCAAGCTGGTTCTAGAGCCTGTCAAGTTAACCAGCGTAACCATCACATCTGGAAAGAATTTTAAGAACAAAACAAATAATATCCAAATTCACTTTTTATAATTATTATGCTGGCTTACCAGGACTTTCTGTGGATTTTTTGTTTTGTTCTGTTTTTGTTTTGTTTTGTTTTGTTTTGTTTTGTTTTGTTTTGTTTTGTTTTGTTTTGTTTTGTTTTGAGACAGGGTTTCTCTGTGTGTAGCCCTGGCCATCCTGGAACACTCTCTGTAGACCAGGCTGGCCTCGAACTCAGAGAACCACCTGCTTCTGCCTCCTGGTACTAAAGGTCTCCACTGTGCCCCACCACAGCCTCGGGTTTCTGTGTGTTTTTAAAGGGAATTCTAGTTGACTCTTAACTCAGCATGTAAAAAAGTATGTTTAGCAATTAATGCACTATTCGGCTATAATGAAAGAATTCAGTGTCCTAATAAAGACACCACCCTGTGTTGTCATCCACAAGCATGAGAAGCTGGCTTTAAACCCCAGCTGTCAGTCAACTAAGAACCACCCACACTCCAGCACCAGGTGCTCCCCATCCCCCAATCCCACCTTCAATGACTCAGCACCAAGGACCCCATCGTCACTAAAGGCCAATACCATGCTTTCCCACCTTTACCACGCTAGCTGTATTTCCCTATTCGCACGTTCCATACTCCCCTATAAAGCCGGCCATCACGACCTGGTCTGTAGCTGTCTCTATCCTACTCAGAGGAAGCCATTTTGCATTCCTCCCTCTCCTAATGAATCTCTTGCGTGAGGTCTGTTGCATGGTGTGATGTCTTCCAGTGTTTCTTGGCCCCAATTACCAAGATACTCTTTGGTTGCAAAACCCTTTCACCAGCGCCCATGTAAAAAGCAAGGTGTGGTGGCAGGTTTGTAATCCCAGCACTGAGGAGACAGAGCCAGGCAGATCCCTGGGACTCCCTTGCCAGCCTGCCTCCCTTAATTTGCTAGCTGATAAACTGTCTCAAAATATAAAGTGGAGGGTACCTGAGGAAGGACACTCAAGGTTGACCTCTGGTGTCTACACACATGAGCATATGCATGAAGCTGGGCATAATGGCACATGCCTTTAATCCCAGCACTTGGGAGGCAGAGTTTGAGGCCAGCCTGGTCGACATAATTAATTCCAGGACACCTGGCTACATAGGGAGATCTTGTCTCAAACACCTGCCCACCACACACACACCAAAAAAGCATAAACGCACATTGCATGAACATATGATTCAAGACGGCAACTGTAGCTTGCTCATCTCCTCAGGCATCTAAGCAGTAGCTCAACTGCTGATATCTAGAAAGAGAATGTCTGAGTACACAGATACACAAGCAGACTTGAGGCAGGAAGGAGCCAGACTTTCATGAGAGGGACAGAAAAGATCCTCAGGTGGGTCTCAGAAGACAGCCTCGACACTTGATAAGAAACAGAACTTTATCCAGGGTTCCCAGGGCTTTCTGGGCTACTATGTTAAAACTGCCCTTTAACGGAGATTGCTACAGGCTTTATCTGACCCACTTCCTATAGGACATGAAGCTACTCGCAGGGACTTTATCAACTTTTCTCCCATAATAATCCCCAGCCCTGACAAAGGGGGATATTGTCATCCCCACGGTATAGATAAAAAATTGAGGCAAAGAAGTAAGGTGAATTGCCTGAGGCTACACAGAACTGAAATTACAACCTGGTATCTATCTGATCGTAGAACTCACTACATGAGTTTTGGGAGGGGTCCACTGGAATCACATTATAGTCTTTAAAAAAAAGTCTAGTCTACTTACTTTAATCTCTAGGCGAAAGAAGATTAATTATATTAATTATATGCCAAAGACATTGAATAACCGCTTTAAATTCTACACATTTATTCTAATCTTTCTCAAATACTTGGGAAGTCTGGGTTTTATCATTAAGAAAATATGGGAAATTAACTGGTTTTTTTTTTAATTAAGGCAAATATTTGTTTGCTAGAATCTCCAAGGAAAGTAATTATTCTAGAAAGCTGTACAGTTCAGACAGGCTCCTTCAGCTCATGGGGAGTAGGAAGTCACCCAGACAGCAGGAATCCAGATGGCCTCAGGGCTCAATGAGCAAACAAAGGTTGGGGAAAACATGTTTTTAACCAAAGCATTTGCATGCATACATAAGTTATTATTATACAGATTTACATATTTCACCTAATTATCAAACAAATGCGAGTTCATTACTTAAAATCTTGAAAAGAAGCCAGCTGTGGTGATGAGCACCTTCAATCTCAGGACTCGGGAGGCAGAGACAGGGAGATCGCTGAGACAGCCTGGTCTACAGAGTGGGTTCCAGGACAGCCAGGGCCACACAGAAAAACCCTGTCTCAAATAATAAATTAATAAATAAATAAATAAATAAATAAATAAATAAATAAATAAATAAATAAATAAATAAATAAATAAATAGAAAGTTAAGCAAAACAGGGGGCTGGAGAGATGGCTCAGCAGTCAAGAGCACTGGCTTCACTTCCAGAGGTCCTGGGTTCAGTTCCCAACACCCACATGGTGGCAAATAACTCCAGTTCCAAAGGATCTGACGCCCTCTTCTGGCTTCTGTGGGCACTGCACAATGGTACAAACATACTCATGGACAAAACACATTAAAACAATGAAAGTAAATAATCAAAAGCATCTCCCATTCCACTACCAGGTGGGGAACTTCTGTGCTGGTCTGGTGGTTCAGTCCTGTCATCCCAGTGTGTGGGGGGCTGAGGCAGAAGGATTGAAAATCTGAGCTCAGCTTGGGAAATACAGTTAGACCCTGTCTTAGAAGTTATTAAATTCAAAATAGTTTTGTTTTAATGAGGAAGGGCCAGGAACACCCCATCTACCTGTCTACAAACTACCCAGGCCATGAGGTCAGAAGCCACAAGCAGCTCTGAGTGCTGTGAATATCGCTTTAAGTAGAAGAAATACCGACTCATCCATGGAAAACTACCTTATGTGTTCTTGGCTATCTGTCTCAGACAACCTAAGACCAAAATTCAATATACTTGGTGGTATTAAGAAAAAATAAATTCCTAAGCCAGGTAGTGGTGGTCCACACCTTTGATCCAGCACTTAGGAGGCAGAGGCGGGTAGATCTCTGAGTTTGAGACCAATTTGGTCTACAGAGCAAGTTCCAGAGCAGTCAGGAATACACAGAGAAACTCTGTCCCAAAAAAAAATTTATAAAAAAAGGGGAAGAAAAAATAAATTCCTTCAATTTCAGTTGCTTGGGAATCTTTTACCATGTTCAAGAAACATCTAATTCATTTACATAGGACAACCAACAGCACAGAGCAAAACTGATTACCTCTCTATGTGTGCACTGATCACAGATATTAAATGCCATGGTTTTAAGATACATTTTGACGGAAGTGTCTCTTTTTTCAGACAAGACTCATAACAGAGTGCTAGAACCAATATAAAGTATTGAATCCAAAAACACTAACCATCACCAAAGGCTGAGGACGACGCTTTGCCAACGGCGAACCATGCTAGTTCAAGAGCAGTGGACTCCAGCCAGCTCCCCTCCTCAGAACACCATTACCTTTTTGTTTTCAGCCACACCATCCTCGCAGTCCAGCACCGCACAATCCACTTTCAGGGATGGAACTTTCCTTATTTTCTTTTCGTCATTCCCAGGCACATACAGCACTGCCCTCCGAGGAATATACTTGTGAATGGACAAGGAGCTATACCCAGCTCTGCAGATACTGGCCACAAGAGATGCCTTCCTGCAAGAGAGGTAAACTAGGGTTAGTCCAAAATAGAATTCTGCACTTACAAATTTGTGAATGGGAGTCGGAGTCAGGGATCAGGGGTGGGGGGCTGGAGAGATGGCTCAGTGGTTAAGAGCACTGGCTGCAGTTCCAGAGAACCTGGGTTCAATTCCCAGTACCCACAAAGCAGCTCACAACTGTCTGTAACTCCAGATCCAAGGGATCTGACATCAATGCACATAAAATAAAGTTAAATAAAATTTTAAAAGTAAAAATAAATAAATAAATTTGTGAATGAACTCTTTCTTCACTTATCCATTCATTCATTTTGGCTTTTTAAAAATATTTAAAAATTTTAAATTACATACATGTGATGGTGGAAGGGGGTAACACATGAGCATATAAGTAATACAGCAGCCTGAGGAGACCAGAAGAGGTCTTTGGGGTCCTTTACTGCTGAAGTTACAGGTGGTTATGAGCGACCAGAGTTGATGCTAGGAACCGAATTCAGTCTTCTGCAAGGGCAGTGCACAGTCTTAGGTGCTAAGTCATTTCTCTCACCCTATTTTGGCTTTTCTGTTTGTTTTCAAGACAGGGTCCCACTATGCAGCTCTGGCTGTCCTAAAACTCACTATGTAGAGCAGGCTGGCCTTGAACTCACAAAGATCCACTTGCCTCTGCCTCCTGAGCTCAGGGACTAAAGGCATGTGTAGTGGGTAGCCATTTTAGCTTTGGTCTGGAAGTTCCAACCCCCATTGAGGCTTCAGTAACTATCACGCCTACAAGGCGGGGCCAAGGGAGAGCCCTGAAGACCCGAGATCTGGGTGCACTGTGCTCTCTCTTGTTTCCTGGACCTTGGACGTTAGAGGTAGACCGAGGAGAGTTCTCCAGAGAACACCGCCGGACTGCGCTGTGTCTTTCCCAGAACCCGTAACCTACCTATCCCTTCATTTGTAACTTACGCCACTAAATAAATCTCTCTTTTAACTACATGGAGTGGCCTTAATAATTTCACCAATATCTGGTGCTCACGTGGGACAAATTCCAAAGGCCTAGGCGGCTCCCACCCTCAGCTTCCTCCCCAGCTGGCCAGCGCTTGAAGCTGCAGGTAACCGCCTGCAGAGTTCCATAAAACCAAGAAAAATCTACACAGTTCCATTCCTAAAAAGGAGCTAATCCCGTCTCAGTTCCGAGGCAAGTTTAGCCCCAGACCAGCAAATCGCTGACAGCCCACCTATTTTTTTGACTTTTTTGAGATGGGTCTTGTTACACAGCCTTGGCTCAGCACTATGGTGCCCAGGTTGGTCTCAGACTCGGGGTAAACCTTGGGGAATCTGAGTCACATACTTAGTACATGTTTAGATTCACATACACTCAGTTTTCAACATCAAAAATCAGAAGCCATACAAAGAAATAGGAAAATATGGACCTTACAAGGGAAAAACCAATCAGTAAAGGCCAACTCAGAAAAATGCCTGATGATGGTTCCATTAGGTGAAGATGTTACAGCAACTATCATGTTTTGAGGTGATTGTTATTGTTGTTTTTCCTTGACAGGGCCTTGTTCTAGAGCCCAAGGCTTGGAACTCAAGACCACACTTGCTGTTGTAGCAACAGCGTCAACCTCTTTGCTCCCAGCAGTGATCAAAACACAGACCCTAATATTTGGAGAACATGGTCTTGGTTTGGTTTACCCTGAGTCCATCAGGCAATGTGCAAATCATTCCAAACATATACACAGCTAAGACTTGACTGAGAAGTACAGTAAAAACTCAAACCAACCCAAAGTGACTACATTGGCCACCCAAGTGGTCCATGAGAGGCCTTCAGTGAACTCCAGAATTTCAAGGCTCAGCATAGTGGGCCATGCCTATAATCCCAGTACTCAAGAGACTGAGACAGGTGCTACAGATGTAGTTCAGTGTTTACCTAGGATGCACAAAGCCTTGGGTTGATTCTCAACAATACATAAACAAGACATGGTAGTTTACATCTGCAATCCCACTACCTAGGAGGTGAGGCAAGAGGATCAGTTCAAGATCATATATGGCTACACAGGAGCTAGCCAGGCCTCGAGACTGGGGCGGGGGTAGGGGGTGGGGTGGGGGGGGTGGGGGGGGAGAGCAGCAGCAGCACCAAGTGGGCGGCCAAGGCAAGGAGGTCTTGAGTTTGAGTCCAGCCTGGGACACATAAAAAACTCAAAACAGAAACAAAAACAACACCAAACTGGGTTCTGGAGTTCCAAAATGTTTAAACCTATAAGACTCTGCAGTGATGTGTGCCCATAATTCCAGCATGGGTGAGGGGCAAAGACAGGAGGATCCCCAGGACTTGCTGGCCAGCTGCTCCAGTCAAATCTGTGAGCTTCAGGCTCAGTGAGAGACCTCCTCTCAAAAACTAAAGCAGAGAGCACCCAAGACGTTGACCTCCATGCCCGTGTACACACACACACACACACACACACACACACACACACACACACACACACAAGGTCCACCTCTTGTCCTTAGAATTAAGGCCACAGTGTGATTTTTCAACAAACTGTGGAGGAGGTAAGGAAAGTGGGAAGTTGTTGGTCCAGGGTTCAAACTTGTGGCTAAAAGATGGATAAATCCTGGAGATTATACTAACAATATATCATGTACTTCCAACTTATTAAGAGAGTGGATTTTAATTATTCTCATCAAATATGCATTAACTATGAGAGGTAATGGATGTGCCAATTATTTAATGAGTAATTTCATAATGTATATCTATATCAGAACATTACAGTGTACACTTTCAATATGTCTTGTCCATTTTGCTTCAATTGAAAACTGAAAAATATTTACAAAGATATCTAATGTTAAAGGAAGAAAGTTTCAATCGATACCTTAATTACACGTTATTTATTTATTTATCACCTCTGTGTATGAGGATGGGTGGGCATGTGCGTAGAAGGGACGGTCCCCTCCTCCTGCCTTTGTGCAGTTCTGGAGGTCAAACCCGGGTCATCAGGCCCCCACAGCAAGACCTGGCCCACTGAGCCGTCTCCCTGGCCCCTTGGGCTGGTCTCTTAAATGGAAGATGTAACGTTATAAATGCATCGTATCTTAACTTAGTGAAGTATCCAATGAGAAATACCTGGTAGGAAGTTCCATGAAATTCGATTAGGGGTGGCTCTGAAGTGTGGATGTTGGGGTTAGTACTTTCTGCCTCCACATGTTTCCCTTATTTTAAACATTTATCAGAAGTGATGTCACACTCCTTTCTTATTCCTTTTATAATTGGCTGATAAACAAACTAATAAACACATTTCAAAGGTCCAAAATGGTGGTAAAATGTAGTTAGAAAACATAAAGGCAAATGATTTGAAAGTGTGTTTGTCCTAATGTTCTGACTGACTGAAGTGGGAGAAAGACAAACACCAGGTGGCAAGGACAGGGGAACCTTCCACTGCTGTCTGTCCGGGTCCCAGAGACACTGTGGGCCATCCCTGCTGCGGCCCTTTCCAGGGACCTTGTCTACGCTGCTGCTGCAGGGAAAGGCCCAGGCTGCAGGCCACTAGACATGGTGGAGAGGTGTCCCCACAGCGAAGGGCCTACCCAGAGGTCCAGAGAGGGACATCCAACAGAACGGCCGCGAGACAGGGCCAGGAAGGCTCAAGGCTGGAATACAATGAGGACTGAGAAAGGACAGGACGTGCTTGACGGACCTGAGATCTCTAGGGGCCTCCAGCACAGCAGCCTTCATTCCACAGAGGGAGGGAGGTCTCTGCAAGCCTCCCCTCTTTTCCTCCCCCATCCCTGGCTGCTCCCAAATCTGTCCTGTGCTTGAGTTGTGTTCAGCGCTGGTACTGCTATGAATACAACCACAATAGGTGACAAGACCAAACTTATTTTCTCTTACACGCTTGGAGTTATGGCCGCTTCACAGTCAACATGTAAATGTATTCAAACAATATGCAAAGCATGAGGTGAAAAAAATGTGGTAGCCTTATGGTGAGTTCTCTCGACCGAGCAATCCCTTTTGGAGGTGACATTTCAGAGGGAAGCCTGACCCATCCTCGGCTTTCTCCCCTACCCTCACCTAGTTACCTGTTTCTGTATCTAGGTCCAGGGGTAGGGGGCTCTCAAGCTAAGAATCAATATAGCCACTACCAGAGAGCTTTTAAAGATTTATCAAATTTAGTCAGGGATGGCAGTGCACACCTGTAACCCCAGCATGAGGATCAGTAGTTCAAGGTCATTCTCAGCCAACAAGACCCTGTCCTAAAGCAATAACACACAAGAAAAATAATCAATTCAGGGGTTGAGCATGACAGAGCACACCTTTAATCCCAGCACTCAGGAGGGTAGACAGATTTCAGTGAGTCTCAAAGCAGCCTGGTCTACACGGAGAGTTCCAGACCAGCCAGAGTTACAAGTGAGGCTCTGTCTTCAAAATAAAACAAAAAGGTGGTGGTGTACCTTTAATCCCAGCACTTGGGAGGCAGAAGCAGGCAGATCTCTGATTTCAAAGTCAGCCTGGTGGTCTACAGAGTGAGTTCCAGGACAACCGGAGCTGTTACACAGAAATACCATCTTGAAACAAAAAACAAACCAACAAACCTGTCCAACTAAATTTCCTTTTAAAGAACTAACTCCAACTCTGCTTCATACTGGCTCATTCTGGAGTTCCTTTTGGAGGCAGAGTCAAGGGTGATGCGGCATCATTGGTGCAGGTGACACCAAGGCTTCAGGCCTTTCCTAGGTCCCTTCATGGCTCTACTGGGCAGCTAAGTGCACGGGCCAGAGCTACAGCTTCCCAGTGTGTGGAAGCTGCCCCGATACAAGGGCTTCTGCTCAACAGACAGAGCCACATATAAAGGAGTGTGCCTGTAATCCCCGCTCTCAGAGGCAGAGGCAGGACCACTGCCAGTTCAGTGCTAGCCTATGCTTCACAGCAAGTTACAGGCAAACCAGAGCTGCACAAGACACTGCCTCAAGAATAAAAAAAATTAAAAATAGGGTGGAGGGAGCCTGGGGAGATAGCTC